CCCCCCCACCATTCCCTCAAACACGTGCTTCCACACACATTCCCACCCCACCCACCATAACTCCATACCCATCCACACACCCCACCCACCATACCTGCCCCCCACACACGCCCAGTCCCAAGATGGTGACTAGGGGGCAGGGGGCTTGTCAACAGCTCATCAAAACTCATTATCGGCCCTCCAGCTGGAATAATTGCCCGCCCCTGTTTTACATGCTAACAGAAAGACAGCATTTTCAGATGCACGTTGCCCCAAATGCCAGGCTGGGGTACCCATTCAGTGGAAGGAATTTACCCTTCCTCCTCCTTTTCCGCAATAGGCTTGACTTCATGTTGTGGTCTTACATGTTACTTACCTTTGAGATCTGTCAAGCTCACATCCAGAGTTGGTAGAGCTACAGACCACCTGTCTGAACAGAGGAGTTGTCATGACTAAAGTGCCTCTGAAGGGAGAAGAGATGGCATCTCATCATTGTACGATACAAACATGGGAGAATAAAATAAATTAGGGATTCTCTAGATGTGCTGCAAAACCATAGCAACTGATTTAAAAATAATAATTTTTAACTTGATTTAAAAATAATAATTCCTAATGCTTCCTTAGCAGTATCTGGGCTCTTGGGCACTGACCTTCTAAGATTTAGGTTAGGGGCTTTGAGTTGTAATGAACTTCATGTTAGCATGAACTTGACATACAGAGTTGCAGTCAGGAAATAATTAAAATACAAACCCTCCATTAATCAGTTTAGATTTAGCAGCTGTTTATAATCCCATGAAAACACAAAAACAAAACTTTTCCCTGCTGACTTTTTTTTGTCCTTTTCTGCTTCATAAACACTGTTTTCCTCTGGTTTTATTCCTTCTTGAACCAATCTGACTCTGCCAATACTCCAGCAGTATCTGTGTCAACAGGAGTAGGTGCTGTTTTGAGTAGAATTTTAGCTAATGGTTGCCTAGGAGAAGGCAGATCACCTGTTGCTGGGCCTTTTTCATGGATTTTTTTTCTCATTTTGCATTTGTCTCACTAAAATCCTGTTTTTGAATGTCTTTTAACAAATTAATTGATTTTTATTTCATTTGTTTTTCTCTTCCTTTTGCCATATTAACCTACTAAGCAAGAGACATTTATTCACAAATTCTAACTAGTCTAAGTGCTGACGGTGGGTACAGGATTTAACAATCAGTGTTACAGAAAGCAGTCTTGAGTTTTATTTTAGCTACCAGGCTTTGGGGAGCTGACATGGTGTTGTCCCTTACACACAAAAAGACTCTGATGGTGGAATTACTACTTTCCAAATTGTTCTAAAGAAAGCCTGGTTTTAGGGTTAAGCACTAAACAGGGACCTAATCAATTTGGATTCAGTTCTCTGGTTTAGTTCTCAAACTTCTGTGTGAACTTCATGAAGTCACTTATCTGTCTCAAGTCTCCATCTGTAAATTGAGGACAAAAATGCTTCCTTTCTCCACACCATTTGTTTTTATTTAGGTTGTAAACTCTTTCAAACAGGAACTGCTTCTTCATGCCTCTAAAATTCAGTGTTAGGATGAAGCGTGGACTGTAGCACTACAGTAAGGCTATGGGCAGACGCATATTTTAGCTGCTTTAAAAGGAGAGGAGGAGGGAGAATGGCTGCTCTGAAGCGCACAGCAGCTGTTAACAATCTAACTCTCACATATGTATGATCCTGTACCTGTACTGATGCCAGTTAGCTAAATTACCCGAATGTTGGTCATGAATGAAGCAAAGGTAAAGTTGACATGGCTTTGCTATACTTATATTACTAAAGATTCATACAGCTGGCATTGTGGTATTGAAACAATTGTTATGTCTGTCTATATCCTAAGTCTTGTAGTTCTTGAAGATGGACAAACCTAGATCTTAAATGGGTCAGGTTCTGTGGGGTAGTGACAGCAGGTTTTCTCCTCCAGAAGAGCATCAGTCCAAAGGATTGCAAAGAGGGGGCATGGTACTACCTTCTACAATAAGACTGGTATTTTACTGGTATTGGAATGCTTTTTTTTTTTTCCCAGAGGAGGAGAGAGAAGAGCATTGTGTAACTCACATGTGAGCCAGTTAACTTGTCAGTTTTTTGGCAGAGTTGTTTACAAGTGCATATAAATATAAATATATGCTGTAAGAATCAAATATATTTCTACCTACCTCATCATAAGTATGCACTAGAGGGCTGCATGCACCATCTTATTTTTAGCATTGCCTAAGTTCTTTGTCCTTGACTTTGCAACCTGAATATTCATTTAACATAGTATTTTTGTAGGTGATTTCCTAGTTAAAAGACAAACAAACCTGAACAAACAGATTTCATCCTATAATAGCAGACTAATGCTCCATGCAGGCAAGGTTGCAATCTCTAGTTTCAGAGCACAGACCTCTGCTACTTGATGTAATGAAGTAACTGATAGCTGAAGTAGGTTGCCATCTAGCTCAGTCATTAATTGGAGATAAGACCCTAGCCAGTGGGTTTCATAGACACTGACTGATTAGTAGAAGAACTCTGAGATTGAGCAATCTTGTTTCCTCACCAGTTTGGAAGATGGTATATTATAGTGCATGCAACCCCTTTGCCAGGGTCTTCTCCCCGCTCCTGATCCACTATATTAGTGGATGTAGGTGTGCAAATGTGATTCACAAGAGAAACTCGGACATTTCAAATGGGAATCTGTAGTGTTAAAAACATTCCAACCTGTTCTGGGCTTTGAGTTCTTTGCAACAGAAAAATTGCTCTATTTTTCTGCAGTCAAAAAATGAGTGAAAGCTTAGAACTGGCATTTTTCAAGGGTCACCCTGAGTCTAAAAAAGTTGAGAACTACTCATGTAGACCCTTTGCCCTGGTTCATTCCTGCTGCTGCCTCCCAGCCCAGCTGTTCTATGGGTCACCTTGTCTGAATCCTAGTTCCCCCACTTCAGCTCCTTCTTCCAATCTATTCCATCTGCTGCTGTCACATCTCTAGATCTGACCTTTGCTTTCCATTCCAGTTCAGTAGCTTTCTCCCTTATACATGCTACTGGGGTGCCAGCAGGAGGAGTATTATGAGCTGTGAGACTCCTTGCTGTCAGGTCAGCTGCTACCACCATAGCAGCAATTGCAAAAAAAAAAAAAAAGTCCTGCTCTGTCCTTGGAGCATGCCCAGTTAAGATTATTCAATCTTGGTTCACAGTTGCTCAATAGGCACTTCTTTTTGTCTGGATGTTTTGAGGTCCATAGGTGGGTTTCCCACCCATTCCCCCTCCTCTCCTTTTAAAGCAGCTAAAATTTCAATTGGTTTCCACAGGAACAGAAATGGGGGGGGCATTTTTGAGTGAGCCCTCTCTTTCCATATCTCAGGTCCCTCCTAGAAAGCACAAAAGTGCTGGTGCTTCCAGCAATTTCTCTGAAACTTCATTTGAAGAAACTTGAACTGTTTTTGATCGCCCCTTTGCAAAAAAAAATGTAACTTGATGCAGACACCCAGTAGATCAGGGCTATCTAACATCAAAGTGGCCAGAGGCCACCCACCACAGGAGCTGCACGAACAGGGGCTGCACACCATTTAGCCTGCATGAGCCACAGATGACTTCTCATGGCTCACCCTCAGCTCCCCAGCCAGTGACATCCCCACTGCAGTGCACTGAGTGGGCTTCCTGGTCCACAGGCTCCTCCAGCATAACAGGCTCTACACTGCACCACTTCCAGGGGCAAGAGCAGGAAGTGGAAGGTGGAAGAGGGAGAGGGAGCCCAGAGACCCTGGCTGATGTTATAGCTGGGAAGATGCAGGCAGAGGGGGAAAAGAGGTGGCCGAGTATGGGTGGGGGGAATCCACAGATCAACTCCTCGTGGACCACACGCAGAATCAACTGTATGATTCTGTAGTGATGCCAGTTAGCTAAATTACCCGATCATATCTCAAGCTCTGCCTAATTTAGTCAAGAGAAGATGCATTCTTGTTAGACTGCTTATCATTGACCTCTCCTTTAAAAGCCTTGAAATGCTTCTTTGAACATAAATATTGTTTGTCTCATCTTGGCAGTGGGAGAGGCTGATTGCTTGTTTTATGTTGTTCTAGGTAGATGTCCTTAAGGCAACAGCTCTTCCCTTGTTGAAAAAATTTGGAATTGATGGTGAAAGTTTGGAGTTGAAGGTAAGGATTCTTTTTTTATTTTGTTTTTTTAAGTAACAATTGACTTGCCACATTGCCCTTGTTCACCTGAAGCTACAAGA